GTGCTTTAGAGCCGATAAATTCAACAGACCCACTAATGGTCGTTAATCACCATTAAAACGTGCAGCCGTAGTGTAACAATCAAATCTTTAAGTTGCAGGAAGGATTTAATAATCAGATCTCGAGCATGAAAACTTTAGTGAACATTATTGCTATTAGCATGTTTTGATGAACGTATGTACCGTCTGACTGTAACAGCAGCTTTTTTATTATTATCACCCTTCTGTTACTCACACATGCATCGTGTATAAATACTTCACCAGTAGTGAAAATGGACCTTGCAAAAAAACGCCGAGTTAGACTGCTAAAGCAGACGTACTTGTTGCACTGTGGAACCAGTGGAGCCTTCTATATACTAAGAAAGAGTATTTTCCGAATACATTTTAAGATAAATTAAAGGTCACTTTAGATCAGCTGATCTGTGTAAACATGGAAAAAAAGTCTTGTGAAGACTGAGCACTTAGAGCACAGATCAGCCACTTCTGCTTCATTTCATTTGTGTATGTTTTCAGTTTTCATGTGAAGGCGTTTCTAACTCCAGTCCTGCACCGTCAGTATGATGTGAGCTAAGGTTTAGGTTCAACCTGAACACTTGCACCATTTCAAATAGAAATTGCAATTTAAAGCGATGCTGTGACCAAATGGCGAAGCCTGCAGTCTCAGTGATCCAGCACACCTGACCAGGGTTCAAACCGACCGGTCCGTGAGTTTACAAACTCCTGCCGTCCTCCTCGGTGTTTCATGTGGTAGCGCTCCAGCACGTTTTAAGTCTTAACGAGTTGACTTATCACAAACCCGCACATCCTCACACCTGAATGAGAAAATAGGTCAGTTGCCAAAGACGAGCGGAGCAGCGTTTCATCTGAAGAGCGACACAGTCAGCATGTGGTGCTTGTTCTGGATCAATCACCACGACCAGGACCAGAACCCTCAGCCTGGGCTCGCTCACTTCATAGTCAGGTTTTATTATCATTTTCATTTCCTGTCAGGATACGTTTGGGCACCTCTCCTCTAACTTTTCGGCTACCTGGATGACGAGTCCTGCAACAGAGATTTTACATTTTCACCAAATGAATCGGCCCCAGTTAAGGCAGCAGTGAAAATAAAAGTATAGCCAGTTATGTGTAGACCGCTAAAGCTAATGAGATGCAGCTTTTTGCATATTCCAGATTAATACATGCACCTCCTGAAATAAGTGAATTGAATGTGAATGGAACCCGGCGTTATTTAGGAGGAGACGAGGGCGACAAAGAAGGTTGTTGATGAATGAATCGACGAGGAAGGAAAGTAGTCCGAGCAGAGGGAGACTGCAGCAGTTAGGGAGGGGAGGGAGGGGAGGGGAGGNGGGAGGGAGGGAGGGAGGGAGGGAGGAGGAGGAGAAGGAGGCGTGATGCACAGCAGCGTGAATGAAATTCACCATCATCCATCAGACCGCTTTGTAACATTTTCCACAGGCGCCACCGGTCGGCCCCAGGATCATATACCTCGAACCAGGATGAGCCCCTGACGGCTCAGAGGGACACTATTTTCTCATTTTGAAATGTTTGGGAAACATTTCAGCATGTTTTACACACACACACACACACCTACAATTACCTCGGTGGTCCAAAGACAGGCATTATGCTTCACATCTTTTAAGCTACATCAAACGAAGAAACAGTGAAAACTAAAGCTAAGATAGATCCGTTTACTTTTTGAACGCTTGCTAAAGTACTTCTGTGTAAAATTCCTGTACATCACTATAACGCTCAGTTTGTTATTTGTTGCTCATGTGATTCTTTGATGCAGAAATAAGGGAGAACATTTAAAAAAAATGAAAAATGAAAAAAAATCTTTTCAAGAGAAAGAGCCATTCGGAGGAGGTTAAACTTGGATGAATAACTATGACAAATCAGTGACTATTATCAGGATTTTTATTGAGTGTTTGGTTGTGTTTGTCTTTTGGGGCTCTGGTTAATAATAAATGGGAAGTGTTTGTTGCTTAAAAAAAACGATAAAAGCTTTTCTCACAGCACTATAAAAAAAAAAAAACGACAACTTTTTAACCTTTTAGTAAAACTAAATTAATCATGAAAATGTACAATCACCCCTTCAAGTTTTGACAAAGTCGAACGCGTGATAATGTAAATTATCACATTAATATTTATTACGATTTGATCTCTATGCACAATTAAGTTTGCACATCATGTTATTTAGACCTAGGTGTTGTTGTCCCCTAAAGTATTTGGCCTAAGATTGTTTTTCTTTTCCTTTCTTAACACCTTAAAGGTGATTTTTAAAAAGACCGTACGTGTCCCTGCTTTTTGCTCATTTTCCTCAGTGTTTGTTAGTCGAAGCATTATATGATATTCAGTAGTTTCCTTAAACTTTGTAAGAGCCTTCTAATTGCCATGATTTTATAAGTGGACCTCCCTAAAATTTGAGACATTTTGAGCTTTGAGAATTTTGCGAGTGATGAGGTAATTTGACAAAAAAAACAAAAAAAATCACTTTAATCAAGACTCCATTTCATTAAAAAAAAGAAAAAAAAAGTGAATCCAGCTTAAGACGTAGATTCAAATCCTTTCTGCCTGGACTTCACTATAAATATTGACATTAAATGTCCCACTTCAATGTGGAAAAAGAGCTGCTTATTTACACAGAGCAGGCCTGGCAGCGTGTGTGCTTTGGCTCCTGAACGCTGCAGACTTAACTTGCAGACTCAGTAGTTTGTTTCTCCAGTGTTGTGGTTTTAAAAAAAAAAAAAAAAGAGTTAAAGAGAAGCTGGACTGAAACTCCTCCAACTCGCTGTCAGTTATAAGCTATCGATAAATTTTACCGCCAAAACTTTGGTGCTTTTTTTTGTTTTCTTCTTTCTTTTTTTTGGAAATATTTACCTCATTAGCCAGTTGCCAACACCACGCTGTGGCCTGGGTTTGGTAAATAAGCAGTGTTGAGCTGTTTCAGAGGTTTGATCTATCCTCAGCAGTGGAAGTGGTTTTGGTGCATCTTGTCTGAGGCGGACCCTTGTACAGTACTGTAATATGTGTGCTTTGAAGCCATGTCAGCGCATTGTAACGTACTGTGTTATGCCTTTTTTTCGTTCTCTGTTTTCTGTTTTATTGAGAGGGATGATAATTGTTTTTTCTACATTAATATTTCTTTAACAGAGGTTAAATATGTCAGAAGAAGAAACAGTCATTTTATAAAAAATAAAAAAAATCACTTGTCATCGTAAAACTACATCTTTTATGTATAAAAAGACTAAAGGCATGATTTTAACTTTTTCTGAGAACTTAGATGTCGTACTCAATGAATTAATTGAATTTTAAAAATGAGTGATTTCAAAGATTTCTTTCTCCAAATAAAAAGTCTTCTATGGCTCCAGGCCAGCCGCTTGTCCCAGAGCTCAGTTTTTTTTCAATTACCGTTAAAGTGACTGTGTGTGTGTGTGTGTGTGTGTGTGTGTGTGTGTGTGCACATCAAACATACAGCACTTGTTCTGCACACACTGAATTATGTTTGAAT